AGAGTAAATTCACTTTTCATACAGCAGTTCACATACACTTTGTCTCATGTCATTGACCAAAATTTACAATGCAGCAGCTCCCCTCCCACTTCCTCCCCACAGTTACCTCCTCCCAGTGTCCATCCCTTCATACTCTTCTGCACCCTGAGTTATCTCCCTGTGCATAATCTGCCATAAGAGTTTTTTTTGTATGTTCATGTATGTCTGTGCATATGTGTGAGTGTGCACATGTTGAAGCTCAAGTGTGTGCATGTGAGTGCTTCAGTCTGCATGTGTCTATGCATGCTTGTGTGTTTGCATACATAGGTGAGTGTGTATGCGTGACAGTGTGTGTGTGTGTGTGCGTGTAGAACTTCTTTGGCCAGGGCATGTTCATCATTGCTGTCCCAGCTCTAAGGAGACATTCTCCTGTGTCTGAGATGGAGGAGGCCAGGGGCTGGTGTCTCCACCGTTCTCAGGCTCCAGGCAGCTTTCCCAGGCCCTATCACCCAGGAGGGGCTAAGGCAGGGTGCAGAGAAGCATGGCCAGGCTCTGAGAAGGCAGGGATAGGGTCAGATTTCCATTTCAAAAGTCCCCTCAGGGGCTGGTATGGGGAGGAGTGGTGGAGCCTGGGAAACTGGCGTGGAGGGGAGAGAGGATGAGGCCTGGGCCAGGCTAGCCACAGTAGACAGCAGGAGGGGGCAGATTTGAGGGACATTAGGATGAAAAATGGACAGGAGTCAGTGATCTGTGGAGGAGTGAGAGTGAGCAGGGCATAGAGGAGGCCCCCAGCTTCTGGCCTGGGTGAAGGCCACTTCTTATTCCTGAAGCGGGAGCCAGAGGGTTAGCTGCTTTGGCAGCCTGCTGGCAGCCAGTTGTGAGTGGAGTCTGCATCCTGGCTGGCTCAGCCACACTGGGCAAGGAGATGATGTGTGAGAGGAGATTGCGGAGAGAGAATGAGTTTGGGGACCGGCTCCGTGTGAAGCTCCTGTGGCCACCCAGGAGAGAGTGTCCAGGAGGTACCTGGGACTGCAGGGCTGAGACTTCCACGCAGGAGTAGCTTTGAACCAAAAAAACCAGTTGCCATCATGTCGATCCTGATTCACAGCAACCCCATGTGAGCAGAACTGAACCACGCCGTTGTGTTTTCAAGGTCGTGCCCTTCTAGAAGCAAATCGCTAGGACTTTCTTCCAAGATGCCTCTGGGTGGGTTCAAACCAACACACTTTCAGTTAGCAGTCCAAGCTTAACCATTTGCACCGCTCTGGAATCCTTAGCTTTAAGCAAGGAAATAATACTCACAGTGACTTTATTTCAAACTAGGGCCCTTTTGTTTGTTTGTTTGTTTGTTTTTTCATTGTGGAACACATGTCTGATTGGTCATGGGAAGCCTTGAAGTTTAGCGCCCAATTTGTATGGGACCTGGGAGATGAGCTTTAGAAGCACAGGCTGTTGGCGCTAGAGGAGCCTATCAGAGCACCTGGGCTACCCTCATCACTGTACAATTGAGGAAACCAAGCCTCAGAGGGCAGTGGCTTTTCCAGGGCTGCCCAGCAAGGCAGAGTTGGGCTAGGGCCCATCTACCCCGGGAGCCCTCTGTTGGAGAGCCCCCTCCTTGAGCTAAGGAAGCCCAGGCGGCTGCTGCAGAAGACTCTGTAATTATAGGATTAGGAGGCAGCCTCTCCCCAGCCCAGCCCTTCTCCTCTCAAAGCCACCGGGTGGAGACAGGAGCTGGCGGCTCAGAGTCGGTTTCCAGGTGTGTCTGAGGAAACCTGGCATCCACAGGCGGCTCCTTCAGCCTGAAAGGCCCCATTGTGGCTGCAGCCTCCCTCCATCGGCTCTATTTTGGGGTCAGGACCCACCCTGCTCCAGCTGGAGGAAGGAAAAGGTGTATTTCAGTATGTCCTGTGGGGCAGGGGAGAGACAAAAGAGGGGACTGCAGCACAAGCAGGGGGTGGATAGCTCAGCGTGACCGAGTCCTGGACTCTGTGGAGAAACGGCAATGGTGACTGCAAGCTAGAGGTGTGAGGGGAGGAGCGGCCTGGCGTTGCAGGTGGAAGTGGCCCAGAAGTTGGAAGAGAGGGTGGTATGAGGAGGGCAGGGCTTTCATGTGGCTCCAGGAGGACTCTTGTCTGACTCTGACATGCTGGAATGCAGGTCCGTGGCCTGTCTGGCGCCCTGCCTGAGACCTGCCTGCCAGGACTTCCCGATTCCCACCCCTGTGGGGGCCCAGCCCTGTGCCGTGCCCCAGGGAGAGACCAGTGGTGCCCTCCAGGGCCTCCCAGTGTGGAGGGCCTGGGGCTGCAGCTGCCGGGAACATGGGAACAAGTGAAGCTCTTCTTTCTGCAGGGTCTGCCCTGCCTGTGTTCTGCCCCATTGGGCCATATTTGCCTGCTCACCCCCACCAGCATGGCAGGTGCATTCTAGCCTCCTGGCCTCTGCTCATGTGGTCCTCAGCCTGGCTTGGATGTGTGGCTCTTCTTGGCCAGTCCTGATCCTGCCCACTTTTCAGGGTTCTGCTCACTGTCACCTCCACCTGCAACTTCCATCATCATCCCAGGCTTTCCTCTGATTTCCCTCCAGCCAGCCTTGCCACACACTGTGATTGCCAAGGCCATGCAGAGCTGTTTTTCCCCCAACAGTCTCCTCACCCCTACCTTGTGCAGGGTCAGCCACAGGGGATGAGAGGCTGGCCAGGAGGTGGCTTGATGTGTGTGCCTATGAAATGGGATCATGACACCTGCCTTACTGGGTAGCTGAGACGTTGGGTGGGCTGACAGGAGTGAACATGCCTGGCATGTAGCAGGGATTCAGGCAGTGGTCCTTCAGCCTCTCTGCCCTGGTACTTGTAAGCCTCTGAACATCAGGCCCTGGGTACTGGGCAGCCCAGGCTCCAGCCCCATGACTCCAGGAATGACTAAATCCACTCCAGCAATAAGCTCTTGAAAGATTTTTTTTTTTCCTCCTTCCTTCTTTGTGTTACCTCATTAAACTCCTCTTGAGTGAGGGGAATGAGGATTGTCCTAATCCCTTGGCACAAGGTGGGGGTGGGGGTTCAGGGAGCTGAGTGAGATGGGCCTACAGTGGCTTGTGGCTACTGGAGGACATTGGGAGCTGGGCAGGGTGGGCACACGAGGCTACACCAGCCCCACAGCTGCCCAGGGCAGGGTGGTGGTGCTGGACGGGAGCTGGAAGTCTTATGTTTCAGCCTAGCTTTGCCCTGGGTCGGCTGGTGACCTCAAACAAGGCTTGGCCCAGACTGGGACTCAGTTATAGGCCCTACTCACTTCCGCATGCTGCTCTGGGAAGAGAATGATCTGCAGGGCTGTGCGTGGCTGTGACCTGCGGGTGGTGCTGTCTATGTGTGCCTGGTCCAGGCAGGCTATCTGGCACATAGTAGGCACCTTAACAGGGCAAGGGTGGAGCAGGCTATGGGCAGTCCCTTGGCTTTTCTGCTTTTAGAATCTGTTTCTCCATCTTTCAAAGGGGCCTGAGAACTCTGGCTCCCTCCTACTGGGTGCTTGGGTTACTGTGAGGGCTGGACCATGAAACCTGTTCATTAGGGAGAGTGCTGTTCCCAGACTTGGGCCTGGAACTCTCCTCTGTGTCACGATGTGGCTTGGCCCAGATAGGAATGTCTACTTACCTTGAATCCTTAAAAAACAATCCCAGACCTCGCCCAACCCAGTATGTTTTCATGGTGCTTTCTTCTATGGAAACTCAGTCCCCCTTCTCCACAGTTGGGAAGACACCTCAAGTAGTGTGTGACTGGGGTCTGGGAACCTCACCTGGGCCACCTTCTGTCCATAGGTGTTCCTGGCCCTTGGGGAGCTTCTGCTATCTTGCAACTGGGCAGTGGTTGCTGACATCTTGCTGGTAAGTGTGAGAGTCAGGGTGGGGGCTGGTCCTGGGCCCTCTTGAGAAGGAGGTCTGGAGTCTGTCCAGCTCAGGGCTGGACCTCTGCTGTTGAAGTTCCTGGGGGTAGGGAGAGGCTTCAGAGACTGTAGGGTAGGGAACCAAGGTCACTGAGCAGCTAGTTACCTTAGACTATTGACTCTAGTCAAACACATGTCCTCTGACCATCACCCCCATTTTGCAGATGAGCAAATGGTGGTTCAGAGATGGCATGTATCTGGACAAAGGTCACACAGTATGCCAAGGCTCTGAGGCAGGACTGGAGCTTAGGCTTTTTGACTCTAGGGCAACTTCTCAGCAAGCCTCCACTCTGGGGTGTGTGGACACAGGGATGCAGGATTTCAATGCTGCAGCTGTTGAACCCAGGTGGGTCCAGCCTGCCCCCGATTCTGGGTCACAATTCAGGGAGACTGGCTCGGGAAAGAACAGAGTCTGACACTGTCCTGTTCACATGACCGCTAAGTTCAGAGTCCAGCACAGGGCCTCTCTGAGCCTCATTCTCCATCTCCCATGGGAAACATGTAATGAAGAACTTTGAACCAGGGCTTTGAAATGGTTCTTCCTAGCTCAGTCATGGCCAACAAAGCAAAACCAAAATGGAGTTGAATTTGTAAAATGTGGGTGTGCCAGAATAATAACTGAAATGGGAAAAATTATGGGTCAATGCCTTGGTAGAAACTTAATCTCCCTCTTAGAAGACCTGGGCAGTGTGCAAGTTGCATAGCAACCAAATCTCTTGATTGGCAGAATCAGAAACAGCAATGCCCAGGCCTGCTCAAAGATGGTGGATGGTTGCTTTGACTGTGTGTTGCTCTCCATAGTCTTGGCAATAATCCAATCTCTTGCATCAGGTTCTTGAAAGGGCTTATGACCTCCTCTGAGTTCCCATTCCGAGGTTTCAACCTGTAAATTTTCCCACTCTGGTTATCATTCTAGTATACCCACATTTTACAAATTTGAGTTTGTTCCAATTTGGCCATGTCAGTCATGACTGAATTGGTTCGAACCAGTTTGAAGCCTTGCTTTGAGCCTTGTAAAGGGCTGTGTCCTTGTGGATAACACAGCGTCTCAGACCTAGGAGCAACCTGTGGAAGGTGTTAGCACAGCCCAGTACTGGGCACATGGGGACTGGACCAGTCTGACAGTCAGTGGATAGCTGTCCTGAGGGTGGTCCAGTGCAGGGACATGAAGGTGGGCTAAAGAAAAAAACCTGGGTTCCAGCCACGGTTCTGGAGCTCGCTAGCTGTGTGATCTTCGGCAAGTTACTTTGTGTCTCTGAGCCTCAGCTTTCCAATATGGAAAATGGGGATAATAATTGTACCTCCCTCATGGTTGTTGTGAGATTGAAATGAGATTATTGGTGTGAGGCTTCTGCCCAGAGCCTGGCACAGAGAAAGTCCTCTGCAAATACTGGCTGAGACTCTGACCATGATTCAAGGTTTCCACTTTCTCATCCTCTGCCACCCAAAGGGAATCCATGAGAGGTGCAAAGGGTTAATGGCTCGGCTGCTAAATGAAAGATTAGAGTTCAAGGCCATCCAGAGGTGCCTCAGAAGAAAGGCCTGGAGATCAATTTCCAAAAAACTCAGCCATTGCACATTGATTCTACTCTGACACACATGGAGTTGCCATGAGTTGGAGTTGACTTGATAGCAACTGGTTTTATTCTCCAAAGAAATCTGAGCACCCTAGAAAGGTTTGGAAAAGTTTTTGGGGTTGGTAGTCATTTAGCTAGTCAACAGGACCTGCTTGAATACAGCTGTTGATGGGATGCTCACTCTCTGCTGAGATGGTCTGCTCTGTCCTCAGGCAGCTCTTGTGACCCTCTCTCCTGTGGCCCCCAGCTCAGCAAGTGTGGATAGGGCTACGATGCTCCCTATGGCTCCTAGGGTAGGGCTATCTGCTGTGGGGTCCTCTCTGCCCCTCCCTCCAGATGGGAGACTTGGGCTCCAGCCCAGAATCACCCACAGACCTGCTATGTGGCCTTGGGCCTCAGTTTCCTTATCTGTAAAAATGGATGATCAGAACCTGCCTGGCAGGGTGAAGGAGCTTACGTGCGAGAAAGCCCCCAGTCAATGGGAATGTGTCAGCAAACTTTGTGTGGTTGTCCACTTTTAAACTCCTCCCTTCCCCCTGCCCCCCAACATAGCTTGTTCTCTCTCAGGCAGTTCAAATGGAGCTGAAACCTGCTCCCCCCGAAGCTTCATCATGGTCCCCCACGGCGCTGCTCCTTTTTCCACATGACAGCCCCACAGATATGTGAAGAGTGTGTCTGTGTCCTCCAGTGTCTGTGTGTGCAAGAATGAATGATTAACCTGGCAGAGATGACTCTGTGGAGCAAGGAGGGATGGCTGAGGTGGGGGAGGGGCCCTGGGCCCGGCCAGCCAGGTTTGACCCATCTGGCTCCACTGGAGAGCTGCCTGGACATGCTGCCATCCACCCCAGTGCTCCTCACAGTCCCTCCCTGGCTTTTAGGCTTCCAAACCCCAAGCTTAGCAAAGTCAACCACCCCAGGAAGGCTTCTGGGCCGCCACCCCTATCTCTCCACCTTCCTGAAGCCCTCTGTCCAAGATTGTCTTTCTGTTCTTCAGTGGCCAGAGCTGGACCAAGCTTCACAGACCATAGAGCTCTGCTCCTCCTGCTGCTGCTTTCCTGGCAAAGACAAAGGGGGAAGAGTTAGGAGGGGTGGTCACAGGGTCAAATGCAGGAAAGGGGCAGATTGTTGGGGCCTGGTCTGTGGAGTGTAGGGGCAGGCGCCTTCCTGGGGCAGGCTGAGGAGAGAGTTTGGAGGTGAGGGTGGAGGATCGGGAGCATACACAAATCCCTCGAGAAGGTGCGTGGAGAACAGGAGAGAGGGTGGTCGCTGGAGTTAGCAGAGGTTCAGGGAAGGCTGGTGGTGCTTTTCAAGAAGTTAGGCAATAATAGCAAGTCTCCAGGGGTGGGGAGGGAGTGGCCTGAGAGGGAAAAGCTTGGAGACCCTGGGAGGGACGCTAGAGAGAGGAAGCCCCTTGTGGGAGGTCCAGTAGGGAGTGGGATCCAGGAAGGAGCCAGCCTCAGAGAGGAGACCTGATGCTCTTGCACAGAGGCAGCAGGGTAGGGACAGTTTTGGGACAGGAAGTGTGTGGGGAAGGGAGTATGTGGTAGGAAGTAGAGAGAGGTCTTATTTGCTAGCCTGAGGTTGAGGAGATGAGCTCCTTATGGGCAGGGGCCTGGGGAGAGCAAGGAGGAATGTGTAGGTGTGTGTGGATGTGTGTACACGCATGTAGAGGGAGAGTGGAAGTAGGACAGCAGGTGGCTGGGGGAAGGGGAACACTCAGGTAAACAACTCTGGGCTGGAAAGGAAGCCCAGGTGCTGACTAGGGAGACTACCGGTCTCTGGAAGTTCAGAGCCTGGTGTGTGGGGTCAGAGGGTGAGAGAGTCAAATAGCCCAGGAGCTAGGACTCGGGAGCTGACCACCTGTTTCAACTCCCAGCCCTACCACTCACTGGCTACATGACCCTGGCCAAGTGACTTAACTTCTCTGGAGCTCTGTATCCTCAGTTATCAAATAGGTAGGGTGTTTTAAAAAACAACAGGAACAGTTGTCATTAAGTTAAACCTGACTCATGTTGTTGTTGTTATGTGCTGTCGAGTCAGACCCAACTCATAGTGACCCCTCCTTGGGCTTCCAAAGCAGTATCACTACGTAAGTAGATTGCCCAATCTTCCTTCCGAGGAGTGGCTGGTGGGTTTGAACCGCCAGTCTTCTGGTTAGCAGTCAAGTGTCTTAGGCACTATGCTACTGGAGCTCCGAGAGACCCCATTGTGTCCGAGTAGAACTGTTTTTTCGGAATTAGATTGCCAAGCCTTTCTTCCAAGGTGCTTCGGGATGCACTCAGGGGCATGACTCTCTGTGGTCCAGTTACTCACAGGAGGAGAATCCAGATTCTCTGGAGAAGGGACCTCAGGGGCTTGCTGTCCAGTGGTTCTCAAACTTCTTTGTGTATAAGAATCACCTGAAGTAGGAGGTGCGTGCTTGTTACAAATTCAGATTCCAGGCCCTCTGTCCACAGAGTCTGATTCAGTGGGTCTGTGATGTGGTCCAGGGAATCTGCATTTCAACTTCCCACATGATTCTGATGTAGATGTTCCTTGGAGCACACTTTGACAAACACTGGTCTAGCCCAGCCAGCTCCCCAAATCCACAAATCCTCCTAAAAATCCCAACTAGCCCAGTCTTCCTCCTGTTCACATACTCCTCTGACGGGGAGCTCACTCCCTGAACCCCAGGCAGCCCCTGCCTCCTGGCAGCTCTGTTGATGAAAATGATGTGGCTTAGTCACAGCTAAGACAACCTCTCCAGCCCAGCTCGGCCCTCGACCTCAGAGGGAACGGCTCCCTGGAACACTGAGCTTGCCTCCCACGCCTGCTTCTCCCCAGGCTGAGCAGCCTGTCTTCCCAAACCAAATGACGAGCTGTCCAATTGCTTCCCAACCCACCTGTCTGTCTGGACCCTGTGCCCACTGGGGTGGCCCAGAGTCGGCTCAGTCCGCCCTCCCATAGTGCAGAACAGGCGGGGAGAGCTGGCTCCTCTTTCTCAGGCCTGTCCTCTGGTGTTCTGGAATCTAGCCACCGGGCTCAGCCCCACCTCATCAGCAGATTTTCCCAAATCCCCCCGGAGGGTTATCACCCTTCTGTTCCCCCTCTGCCTGGTATCTCATCGCTTCCCTGCTCAGCCTCTGTCCCCCAGGGAGCCGTCTGCTTACTCGCCTGTCTCACCTCTTAGGGGTGTCTGGGTGTGACGCTGAGTGGGGAGCAGGAGGCAGGCTGCCAGGTAGTGTGCAGTTGGTGGTTGCCGCTCTAACTTTCTGCAGGCCCATGGGCGGTGCTGGTTTTGTCCCTGGGTATAAAGGGAATAGCCCTTCTAAGATGGGAGAGCCCAAAACAGAGGTGTGTTTGTCTCAAAATAGAGTGAGCCTAGAGTTTTGGGAACCCAAAAGCATCTCACTTCTATAATTACTCCCTGGGCTGTCCAGCTGCTGACAAGGCCCAGCCTTGGCCCCCAGGCTGTATGGAGACAATGAGAACCCAGAATAGGCTGGGTTAGGGGTGGGGGTGGCTCTCCCTCTTCCACAACTGGCAGCAGCAGCCAGTCTGGGTCCAGCAGGTTGAAGTTCCTGGGAGGAGAGGAAGAGACTGAGTCTGACAAGGCCTGGGCCCCACTTGGACTTTTTCAGACACTCCCGAGCCCACCCTCTGGGGGCCCTGCCCTTCTCCCCAGAACCACCAGTGAGTAATAGCATAATTATGGGGTGAGAAGGAAGTACCTGCCGGAGGTACAAAGCTGTGGTCAGTTTCTTCTCAGCCTGTTGTCAGGTCCTGGTGATGGGTGGAGGCCCAGCTTCCCTCAGGGTCTGGCCGCAGCAGCTCAGGGATTCTGCCCCTCCGACCTGCCCACCCACACGTCCTCATTGTCACCAGAACCCCCGTGGCTCCCAGCCTCTGTGCTCCTGCTTCCGCACCTTTGTCCTCACTGTGCCCCTGCCTGGCATGTCCTTCCCACCTTTCTGTCCGTTACTGTGCCATCTGCCTGCAGGGCTAGGGATGAGCTTGTCCTTCCTCCTTCTCTCCACTCCCCAAATATCAATATTTCTGAAAAAGCTCTTCCTTGCCTCTGACATTAGAGTGGTCAAAGGGCCAGGTCCTGGGTCAATTTCAGCTCTGCTATTTCCTGGTTGGGTGATCCTGGGCACATTACTTAACCTCCCTGTGGCCTCAATTTCCTCATCTGTAAAACTCAGAGAGTAATTGCATCTCCCTCATGGGTTGTTTGAGTTGATATATAAAATGCATACAGGAAGTACTCAATAAGTGTTGGCAATTATTACTGTTATCCTTGTTATTATTCTCTGTTGGATTCAGATTTATGGACACCCCGGCCTTGGGATGGGGCTTTGGGGTGGAAACTTCTCTGTGACTGCCCTGTTAGAACCGTGTGTGTGTGTGTGTGTGTGTGTGTGTGTGTGTGGCCTCTGCTCACAGGGAACCTCCTCCTCTCCCTTCCTTTTCCCCCTACTCTTCTCTCTTTTCTCCTCCCCTTCCAACCTCTCCTGCTGCGGCCCTGGGCTCTGGCAGGGTTTCTCCTGGGACCAGTCTCTAAGATGGTTCTACTTGGCTGCATTGGTTGGCAGGCTTTCAGCTACTCCTCACTGTGCCTGGTGCTTCACTGGACCCCAGGGACCTGAGAGGAATTAGACAAGGGGTTTGTGATCGAAGACCTGCCTAGAAAGTATTGAGGGTAAGAGAAAGCAGACAAAGAAAGGATCCTCCCATCCCTGAGTGATGTGTGCATGTGGCCTGTGGGTGCTCAGGGCAGGCATCTGAACTCTGGGGTGGCGCCCCAGAGGAAGTGACTCCAAAGCTAAGTCCTGAAGGACAAGTAGGCATGTTGCTTGGATGGACCAGAGAGGGGAAGGCATACTGGGCAGTAGGCACCAAAAAACAGCAACAACCAAACCACTTCCTCTTGAGTCAGTTCCAACCCATGGTGACCCCATGTGTGTCAGTAGAACTGTGGTCCATAGGATTTTCAATGGCTGTAATCTTTTGGAAGTAGATTGCCAGGCCATTTTTTCCTGAGCCACCCCTGGGTGGATTCAAACCTCCAACTTTTCGGTTAGTTGCACTTAACCATTTGAGCCACCCAGAAGGCACAGCATTCTCAAAACTCCAGAAGCATTTTGCCTCCCAGAGTCACAGGGCATTATTTTGATTTGATGTGGACATAAAGTCTCCAGCTACCAGATTAGTAATAACAGCATAGCTCTTAAAGTAGGTGCTATTATCCTCATTTGAGGATGAGGCACAGAAAGGTGAAGTGATTTGCCCACAGTCACACAGCTAGTGAGTGCAGGGATCTGGGATTGGAATTTAAACAGTCTGACTCCAGAGTTCGTATTCCTAACTGCCACCTCCTAGGTAACCAGCCCCACCAAGGTATGAGAAGGCAGTAGTGCCCGCCTCACTCTCTTCCATGGAGTTGTCTGGGCCTCTCTAGCCAGACATTTTTGGGTCTCTGCCTGGTTGGACTAGAACTTTCTGAGAGAAGCCCTCTGCACTGTGCCTACTGCTGCCTGGGCGTGCAGATACCTGGCTGCGCGTCCCTTCTCACTCCACCAGCCTGCACTGCAGCTTCCTGGATCCCCGAGCTGGGCTGCCTCAGCCCCACCACTCCTGTCACAGCCATGCCTGGTCCTTGCCCAGACTTGCTTAAAAAAAAAAAAAAAAAAAAATTGTGATTAAAAACATAGAACATAAAATTTTCCATTTTAACTATTTTCAAACGTATAATTTAGGGACATTGATTACATCACAATGCTGTGTAGCCATCACCATTATTTGTTCCCAAAACTTTTATATCATCCCACATAGAAGCTTGGTCCCCATTAAGCATTAACTGCTCCTTTCTTCTCCCTGTGACAAACACTAATCCACCTTCTGTCCCTATGCATGTATCTACTCTGGACATTTCATATAAGTAGGGTCATATAATATTTGTTCTTTTGTATTTGATTTATTGCAGCATAATGTGTTTAATGTTTATCTATGTGTGGTTGTGGGGTGCCACGGAGTTGGTTCCGACTCACAGGAACCAAATATTTGTACAACAGAACCAAATACTACCTGCTGGGTGCTGAGTAATTCTTACAATCCCTGTATGAGCTCATTGTTGTAGCCAGTGTCAATCAATCTTATTGAAGGTCTTCCTCTTTTTCACTGACCCCCTGCTTAACCAAGCATGATGTCCTTCGCCAGGGGCTGGTCCCTTCTGATAACATGTCCAAAGTACATGAGACAAAGAGTTGCCATCCTGACTTGTAAGGAGCATTCTGGCTGTACTTCTTCCAAGACAGATTTGTTTATTCTTCTGGCCATCTAGGGCAAATTCAATATTTTTTTTTTGCCAACAACATAATTCAGTTGCATCAATTCTTCTTCAGTCTTCGTTATTCATTGTCTAGCTTTCACGTACATCCCATAGTATTGCATGTATTAGAATCTAATTTCTCTTTATGGCTGAATAATATTGCATTGTATGTATATGCCATCTTTTGTTTATCCCTTCATTAGTTGATGGACACTTGGCCTCCTCCCAGTTTGAGAGCAAAACCTTAAGGGAGGCCCTTGGCACCCCATCCCAGGGCACAGGATTGATGTTCTAATGGCCACTCACTTGGCCAACCTGTTACACTTCCAGGCCCTTGTCTTTGGCAAGTGGGAAACAGGAGGTAGGTGAGAAGTGTCTCCACTCTGTACTCTCACTTGCGGGAGCTTTCCTGCTGCCTTGTGTTTTGCAGTCTGTGGTGGTGCCCAGGTGCCGAGGGACAGCAGAGGCGCTGCAGATCACAGTGGGCCATGTCCTGGGAGACGCCAGCAGCCCCTACCTCACTGGACTTGTAAGGCCTGAGTGTTGGATGGGTGGAGTGGGAAGAATCTTGGGGAGGAACCACCACATGCTAAACCCTGGAGCGTGGCCTGGTGGGCTTGGCAGACCCAGCCTCCCTCCTCTGCAGATCTCCAGTGCCCTGCGGGCCAGGCGCCCCGACTCCTACCTGCAGCGCTTCCTCAGCCTGCAACAGAGCTTCCTGTGTTGCACCTTTGTCATCGTCCTGGGTGGGGGCTGCTTCTTGCTGACTGCACTGCACCTAGAGAGAGACCAGACGCTGGCCCGGCAGCCTGGCACAGGTACCTCCACCCCTCCTACCCATGCCAGGCTCAGAGCTAAACTTCACAGGGTCAGGAAACCCTGGCCAGTTTGTTTGCTCATTTTTGTATTTATTCATTCACTTAGAAATATTGATTACACCCCTGCTAAGTGTCAAGAGTTTGTTCCTGGGGAGTACAACCAACCAACACACTTGCCTATTAACTGAAAGGTTGGTGTCTGAGTCAACGCAGAGGTCCTTTGGAAGAAAGGACTAGTGATCTACTTCCAGAAAATCAACCATTGAAAATCCTATGGAGCATAATTCTACTCTGATACACATGGGATTGTCAGGAGTTGGAATTGACTCGATGGCAACTAATTTACATAGCAGGCAAGGTTACAGATGCTAGGAGTCAATGAATAGGCCAAGTTCAAGCCCTCATGGAGCTGATCCTCTAGTGGGTAGAGACTGAGTAACACAAGTAGAAAAAGAAAAAAGAAAAGAAAGAAAGTAAATTTGAGGTAACAAGTGCTATGGAGGGACAAAACAGGGAAGGAGATAGTGAGGGACAGATGGGAGCAGGTTGGAATCTTCAATAAGGTGGCCCAGGAGGTCATCACCACACAGGTGACAATGGAGCAAAGGCTTGAAGGAGGTGAGGGAGTGAGCCAAGCAGTTATCTGGGAGCAGAGTTCTGCATCCAGCAGAAGAAATAGCCTGTGCAAAGGCCCTGTGGTGGAGGTGTGCTTGATGTGTGTGAAGACTGGCAAGGAGGCCGGTGTGGCTGGGGCAGGAGCAATGAGGTGAATGGTAGAGGATGAAGGCAGAGTAACAAGGCCAGAGTATGAGGAACCTGGTAGGCCCTTGTAAAGACTGTGGCCTTAACTCTGAGTGAGAGGGGAGCCTCTATAGGGCTTCCAGGGGGAGGAGCAGGAGGCGGTCAGATTTATGTTGTAAAAGTATCACTAGCTGCAGGGTTGACAAGATGCTGCAAAGACCATGGAGGTGGCAGGGAGGATAGTCAGAAGGGGTGAGATTGGGAATTTATTTTACAAACTGAATTTAGAAGATTTCCAGACAGATTGTGCCCAGGCCTGGTCCCAAAACAGTACCTGCCTCCTTTGAGGCTGGTTGAGCATCTTTCGTCCTACAGGAACCCCAGACAGCAAGGATATAGAGAGCCAAGGACTGCTTCTTGGTATGGAAGCCCCTACAGAAGACCCCTGAGGACCTGCAGTGAGGAGGCCCCACCCACCCGGTCTGAACACCCAGCCCTCTGCTGCCCTCCATGGTTGTGGGGCCTCCGTGACCTTTGGCTGTGGCTGAAGGAGCCCGGCTGAGCCGCACCTGCCACTTCCTCTATCCTCTCTAGAAAGCTGCCAGGCCTGGTGGCGGGGCTGGGAATTGAGCTGTCAGCACCCTCCGCAGGAAGCCTGGGTCTGCTCCCACAACCAGCACAAGGCCAGCCCTGTCTGGGGTCCTCAGCCTGGTTGCCAAGGGGCTTCAATTAAAGTGTGGGGCAGCATGAAGCCTGTGGAACGCTGGCCGTTGGACCAGCACTGTTATTTCTCGCCTTGGGGTACCTCTTCTGGGAGTACGATGGAGAGAGACGGACCGGTCCAGGCCCAGGATGCAGGGCTTTCTCTTGAAGTGGGGAAACTCAGGGGCTGCTCAGCATGGGTGTTTTGAGACCCACTCTGACCCAGCTTCCCCACTCTGCAGGGTCAGGAAGGCACAGAACACCTCTGGGTGAATTCACCCTCTGAACCAAAGGAAGGGGTCAAACGGTGATGCGGGAGATGGGTTTCTCTTAGGTTGCCGGGGCAGATGTGTCTCCAGGCTCCACAGACCCACATGCAGCAGCTCCCACGCCTGTACCTTCACAGGCAGAGTTGCCCACAGGACCACGCCGAAGTGCTCTCATGCTGCCAGCCATACTCCTGGCAGTGCCGTTTTCTGCACCCTCTCCCCACCCACACTTGGACTCCCAGCACAGCCTTTGGTAAAGGCTGACTCTGTGAGACCCACACTTGCTGCTGGGTTCAGAGCAGCTGGGCTCAGCAGGCCCTGCAGGAGATCAACAGCTTCCAGGCGGGCAGCAGTGGGGAGGCATGTTCTTTCCACCCATGAGCAGGAGCTGCTCCCCCCTCCTCTGGTGCTTGGCTAAGGGATCACTTGTTCACTTGCTGATTGCCACCTTGGCTGTGCCAGGCTGTGCCTGTCTCTGGACGGGCTGCGGAGGAGCAATGACTTAGTCCCATGCAAACCTCCCGACCTTTGCTTGCTCCAGCCCCGCCTCCGTGGGCGTCCTCCCTGACCTTCGTGGTTGGATGTGATAGGCTCCAGGGTCTGGGCTTGGAGCTCAGCCCTCCCTCCAGTCTCAGCCCTCCCTTGGGATCTGGCATCACAAGCTGAATAGCCCCTTGATCCAGGATTTGATGCTTGGGGCTTGTGAGCTGGGCTGCCTTTGAAATTACAAGGAAAAAGATGCATAAGGATATTTGATTTCTCTTGAGAAGGAGGCAGCTAGTCTGGGCTGGAGCTAGGATACCATGGTCCCCGTGGGGATTCACTGGCTGTGTGACCTCAGCCACTTCCTGCCCTTCTCTGAACTGCAGACTCTCCAGCTATGCACAAGAGGTGTGTTGGACATGGCTGTTCCGGCCCAGATGCCTCCTGTTCTCACAGAAATCCATAGAAGTTTCCAGCTTCAGGTTCTGAAGCTTCCTCCCACAAGTCCTGTGGGGAGAACCCCTGTGAGGCTTAGCTCCCAGATGGTGTATCTGAAAATGGTCAAGGGCTTCTCAAGAGTTAAACATCACCCCCTCTCACACCTCTGAGTCCAGTGGCTGGAGAGGAAAATCAGAAGGCTCCTTTATGTCAGTTCCATGAACATGCTATTGCTGGTGCCCATTTTGGTGTCAGTGGTGACTCAGCTCCACCCTCAGCTAAGCTAAGTGAAAGGTCCCTGGTTGATTCAAACAGTTTGAACTCAACTGCTAACATAAAAGCTGGTGGTTCAAACCCGCCCAGCACTGCCACAGAATAAAAGGCCTGGCAATCTGCGTCTGTTAAGATTGTTGTGTTGTTGTTATGTGCCGTCGAGTTGGACCCGACTCATGGCGACCCCTCCTTGGGTTTCCGAGAGGGTATCGCTATGGAGTAGATTGTCCAACCTTCCTTCCGAGGAGTGGTGGGTGTGTTTGAACCACCAGCCTTCTGGTTAGCAGTCAAGTGCTTTAGGCACTACACTACCAGAGCTCCTCTGTTAAGATTACAGCTAAGAAAACCCTATGGGGTCACCATGACTCGGAATCATCTACAACTAACAATAAGAACCCAAGTAAAGTTCATGCTGAAGGCACACCTCTGGGCAGAGGAAGGGATGACATCTTGGCCCGGGAGCTGGTAAGTAACAGGAGAAGGTGTTGGGGAGGGAATTCCAGGATGCAATAGGATAGGCAAAGGCAGGTGATGAATCATGGAGAGGTGTGGTGTGGTGTGGCTAAAGAGGAGGCAAGGGAGACTGATTGGGACAAGAGGGGCTTCCAGTGCCAGGCCCAGGAGCTAGGGCTATAATCCCATAATCAGGGCTGTTTCTTCTGGCTCAAGGACATTCTGGTGTTTCAGGTTACTGGACAAGGTGGGGTGGTGTTTCTTGGAATTGAGCTGGACAAGATGCCCAGCCAGGAGTCTGCAGGCTTAGGACCCTGGGTGATGCGATTGGTTAAACTCTTGACTACCAACCTAAAAGCTGCCAGTTCAAACTCACCCAGTGGCCCTACAAAAGAAAGGCCTAGCAATCTGTTTCTGTAAAGATTATAGCCAAGAAAATCCTATGGGAGCATAGTTCTACTCTGTAACACATGAAGTTGCCATGAGTCAGAATTGACTTGATGGCCACACGTTTAGTTTTTTTCGTTTTTTAAAAAAGAGCTTTGGATGGGGAAGAGGCTCTGGGGGGTGACAGAGACCATCATCTCCTCTGTAGCTAACCCAGGCCCCAGCTTTACTCAACTCCCACCTCCTGCCACACTGGAGCCAGTCATGGTGGGCTAAGGTCACAGGTGTAGGTATATGAGTGCTCAGGGAAGCCTGGCCACTCAGGAGTCAGGTGGATGAAAACACAACTTCCCGGCCTAAAGGCACCTGTTGGGCAATCCTCGTCACTAAGACTTGGGACCTGTTCGTTGAGAACGTCAAGGGGGCAAAATGCTGTTCAGCAGGATGAGGTCCTCCAGCCTGACCCTCTCAGCTAATGTGTTAATTACTTTCACGAGACACATGCTGCATTCCAGCTCTTAGGTGTCACCCTGGCACGCAGGTGTCTGTCAGTGTGTGTACCTGCTTGTCTCTCTGTTGATGTGTGAACACATAAGGATACTGATAAGAGCTCTCCTCCAACCTTGACCTCTGACTTGAAGGGTTGAGGGTGTGCGTCCAGATGGTCCCCCAACCCTGGCTTGTTCTCCTGCAACACCAGACCTTGGTCTGCCTGCTTCATTTCCTGAAGTGTTTGACTCTCCTCCATGCCTGGGTGGGCCTGTTTGGTCTAATGCAGACTCCAAAGACAGAGCTGGCAGGAGGCAGTCAGAAGTTGTCTTGATCTCACCTGCAGGGAGGTAATGTGATTGCACATGCTCCCTCTGTGTGACCCTAACACCAGTTATGGTTATAGGGTTGTATGCAACAGAAATGGACTATCTTAGGCAGGAGATAAATAAAGCTTATCAGGAGCTCACAGAATAGATGGAAGGATGAAGATTCAGGAGCCGGGGCTCCTGGGCCATCTTTTCTGGAGATTTTTATCAGAATTCCAGACCTTATGCCCTATTCTTTTGCCACACTACTCTACATTAAAAACCCTGACCAAGAGAGTTCAGTTGAGCTAATTTGAACTTTATGCCAATGCTTTGATTTATAGCTCCCTTAAGACTAGAAAACCATGGTGCCATTAGGAAGAGGAATGGACTCACAGCATCAAAACAAACATGAAAGAGTGTCCACTACAGTGATCTTGGGCAGGCTACTGCTCCTCTTGAAGATGAAGCTTCCCCATGGGACAGGGAAGATGCTGGATTCAATGTCCTCCAAGGGATTCTTTATTTCTAATAGTCTCTGTGTCTACGCACAAAGGAGATTGAGGCTCCTATGATTTGAAAAGTATTTAAAAACATGCAAATGATGGAACAGGAACTTCTGTGTTAGTGGGGACCAGAACCATCTGTTGCAAGCAGGAGAGAGAGGCAGAGACAGAGCGTTCTGAGCAGATCTTGTTAGGCAGATCCAGGCTGGGGAGTCTCTGATAAGTACCCAGCTTGGCGACAGCCAGAGCAGAGAGAAGGCATCTTCTTTCCATCATGGGTGGTGACCTGTGGGTAAGGCTAATCAAAGTGTGGAGGCAAATGGCAAGTGGAGGCTAATGGAGGGTGGAGTCAATCAGGGAGAAAATGTCTTTTCCAGAGGGACCAAGAGAGGACTCTGCTTGGTTCTGAGTCACTCAGAGCAACAGACACATGATGGAAATCAACACACATTTCCTGAGCACCTGCTAAATGTCATTTACTCAATCAACAAACATTCTCTGTGCACCTCCTTTGTCCTGGATTGTGGAGATGAGTCAGACTGGGCATGGGCCCTTCAAGTCTCACAGCCTGTTTTTGGGGGTGGGGTGTGCACTTATGTACAAATGTAACCAGCATAATGGGTTTAGTATGACAGAGGGATACACAAATTACTCAAGTAGCCTAGGAGAAAATGACTGATTGCCCAGGTGGGTCAGGGAAGGCTTCCTGGAAGAAGTCACGTCTGTTTGGGTTTCTGAAGGACAAGTGGGAGGAGGAGGCTGGGAAGACAGCATAGATATTGTTGTTTGTTGTTATGTGCCGTCGAGTCAAGCCCGACTCATAGCGACCCCTCCTTGGGTTTCCGAGGCAGTATCACTACGGAAGTAGGATTGCCCAACCTTCCTTCCGAGGAATGGCTGGTGGGTTTGAACCGCCAGCCATCTGGTTAGCAGGCAAGTGTCTTAGCCACTATGCTACCAGAGCTAGATATAGCATAATTAATTGATCGGGGGAGGGGGTTTGCAAATGTGACGCTCTCCGTGGTCCTGAACCATCATTCCATACTAGGATGACAAGGGCTTCTCTGTTGAGGGAAGTTGTTGTTGTGTGCCATCAAGTCAGACCCGACTCATAGCGACCCCTCCTTGGGTTTCCGGGGCA